ACTGGAAAGCCCTGAAGCAAAGAAATAACATTATTCTAATACAATTCGGGACATGGAAAGTTTTTTACGGCAGTATTAAAGCAAACATCACAGAAATGGCAGTTGTCAAGCAATCGAGTATTATTTTCAACAAACCAGCATTTCATTTATTGCATAATCTGTACACTTGAACCGAGGGCACTGACTTAACTGCGTTATTCAATCAAACTAGGTGACTGGGTCGAATTGGGTCCCCGGGTGAAATTGCGTCGCTGGGTCAAACTGGGTCAAACTGGGTCAAGTTGGGTCACTGGTCAAACTGGGTCACTGGGTCTAACTGAAAAGAGTATGACGTGACCCAGTGACCCAGTTTAATTTAGTGACCCAGTTGACCCAGTGACCCAGTCCAACTCTGATGAGGAAATACATCAGTCAAAAAAATAACGTCGCTTCGAAATATATGGCACAAATTACAACTACAAATACACTTTTCCAAGAAAGCAAAGGCCCTCTTTTGTGTTGCTCATAATGATTATGAAACAACTAGAAAAGTAACTATAATGGAGGTGGATTATGACAGACAACTCTGTGAAGATTTGTTTGAAAAATGCACCCTGTTTTGGAATAAAGCTGTTTTTCCTAAGTTAAATAAGTGAATGTATAATAAATTACTGTCTATTTCATGTATTATAACTTAAATGAAACTAATGTAAAGTTAATTCATTTTTTAATTAAAACATCCTGCAAACTTATCAAACCACAAGCTACTATTATTACTTCATCTATGATAGGAATTAAATTATAGTCTACACAAGCATGAGGAAGCAACTCTCTTAGCCTATTTATTACTCGTTCAACATGTATTCTTAATGCCGCTATCTGTTTTGTTTGCTTTACTTCAGCTTTAGTGCTGGAGGAAGACTTTGAAACAGAAGGTGGTCGTATGAGAGTACATTTTTTAGCTTCCAATAAACGTGACAAGTCCTTGAAGCCTCTGTCGGCCATCACTGCGCTATTAGGGGACAAACACTCCAAATAACCACAGTCCTGAACTATCGTAACATCAGTGGCTCTTCCACCATATCCGCCTGAGATAAAATTGACTAGGCCGTCAGGTGTACATGAAATTAGGTACTTCAAGGTGTTAATTTTTTGTATTGTGACCACGTAAGTGATTGGTGAACTGCATCAGATGGCTTCTCGATTTGAATTTCTAAGCAATCAATGATAGAAACAACATTTGCATACCTAGCCCTGAATGATATGGGTAAATTCTTGTAAATGTCTGATGGTGTTGGCCATACAACTAATTATTCCATTTTTCTTGCGATGAGGTATACTTTTATTGAATATTCTACTAATAGTGCTCTGTGCATATCCAAACTGTAATCCTAATATACTAAATGACTCATTTAATTTTATTTTCTTTAGTGTTATTAATATGTCTACAGTAGAAAGGGGCATATTTTCACTCAAAAGTTTTACTAAATGATATGACTCTTTTGGTAATCCCAGTAACAGTTTAGGCTCTTTTTCTATGGCACCCCGTCAAAATAGCCCCTGCCAAAACAGCTCCGGCAGAACAGCCCCGACAAAATAGCCTGCGCTCAAAACGGCCCCTGCCAAAACAGCCCCGTTAAAAGAGCCCCGACAAAATAGCCCTCGCCCAAAACAGCCCCGCCAAAACAGCGCCGTCAAAATCGCTTCTGCCAAAACAGCCCTATTAAAATAATGTACACATTGAAGAAGTAAATTTTATTACATTTGTAACCAATGCATGCATAATTGAATACACTTAAAAAATGAATATAGGTACATAGGTTTTATATGAAAAATAACAGGATAATGTTGTGGTTATAACTCTAAATTATACGAAATTCCACGAAGATAATCAATAATGTCGTTGTTGTTATAATTTTCCACCATAGTTAATAGTCGTCTATTTAATAATACGTAGCAACTGATAATTTTCTAACAAGAAGAAACGTCAAATTTATTTAAGACGATAGCTATTTACATTATCATTCGAAAGCTTAAGACTATTAATTATACAATTAGAAGTCTCACTAACTTTAATAGTGGACACACCCCCATCGCTGGGGACTGTGGTGGTCTAAACCTCTTGCCACCTTCTCAACCATATTCTTGGGGTGAAAATTGCACTAATTTCTGTACAAGTTCAAAAAATTCACTCCATCGCACTTAATGACTGTAAATACGTCTATGTCTACCGTGATGAATTCGAAATTAAAGGGTTGTACAATTAGGTGTCATCTAACCTTTACTAAAAGGTAATCTTTTGTAGGCGCTGTCAACTTGACATATTTGGAAATGTTCGCGTTTTCATTTATCATGGTTTTGCACATTGAATATTTGGACCACAATGTAGAACTAGAGAACTTTTTGACCTAGAAGGTATTCTATTAGTTTAAAGAAAACTTGTTAGCCCTAATTATTTTCTGACCGCATCCAAAAAGTTAGAAAGCATGATATTTTCGTTCACATTATTATCCTCCTGTACCTTTTTTCGCCAAGCACAAACTATATATCTGATACTGATTTCTGAGGAGGAGATTTTCTACAGCTTCTTAACTTTTTGAACAAATCACCCTTACAAATTCACCACCAAAAGAACATGCCGCGTCAATTTTTTTTACAAATAAATGAACAACGCAAAACAATTCGTGCTTGCAACGGTACCGGATTCAAAGGTGATGCAACTAAAAATGGCATGTGTTATGTAAAAGAATCAAAAGAAATCTTAAAATTGAGACAGTATGAAATAAAATTTTGTACGATACACGGCCGTGAAGTGATTATTAAAGCATTCGTTTAGAAATTCCGAACTCGGCTCCTTCGTCGCCTCGTCCGTAAACATCTAAACTCGTACTTTAATAAGCCACTTCCCGGCCTTATAACGTAAATAACTTTTAGTAGACCTTATTTTACTTACTGCAATTTATCCTATCATAAAAAAGCAAGACAAAATCCATTAGTTATTTTATTAATAGCAATATCTCCCAACTGACATAATTTTTTTACATAAAAAGGATAATGTATATTAGTTATTTATTATACAAGACGATAAAGGGATATTTTAACCATTGAGTGAAAGATGTGAATTAACTTTGACGAGATGGTTAGTTTCCATTTATCGTTGTGTATAATACAAAATTTTATTTTATAGCAGAAGCCATACAAATCATTGTAAAGCTTCTGACAATTCTGAATTTAATTTAGAGACGCCAAAAATAGTAAGCTTTTCTATAGAAACAGCAATGTCATATGTTCTGTACGTCATTTTATACCGTGCATTTAAAATAAGAATGACATATGTCATTAGAATGCACAGTCAATTGTTTCACTTTATCTATCCTTACGGTTAAGGAACGCCTTAGCCTACTCATTCAAACCTATTAAAATGTCATTTTAACATATGCTATAAAATAAACAATTGTTAATTATAACAAAGTAGTCCAAAATGCGCTCTGTAAAGTTTGCCATTATGTTAGATGGGAAGTTTTGCCAGGTCGCCCGCGATATGAGATAAACTGCGCATTGTACCAAACTAATTTTAATGGCCCACACGAATACTAACCAACCCTTATTATTCAAAGAAACAAATTAACACAAAGGATGCCAATCATCAAATATTGTAATCTCCTTTGTCGTAATTACAGTGGTCCAGGCCGGGAGCAGTCACGGGGCCCAAGTGCTGTTGATGATCTTGGCGAGTGAGGTGAGTGATATTAACGGTTAGTTGTTTGATGTATTGATTATATCGGTTCACCCGGTATATATCAAATAATTAATTGATGTTAAGTAATTTATCCCAATTTCCCTAAGCGCTGTCTCTGGCTGCAAAAAGAGGGACCGGTGTCTTACATTATTAATATAAAAGTTTTAATTTTTTACACTAAATCCATTTTACAACTCAAAACTCACTGTTGCATGAAAAAGTACCTGAGTTACGTTGTACTGCGTCTTTCGGGGATGAAAATCTGAATCGGTAACTGAATTCTTAATTTTTTTAACTATTCAACTAGAATATTGTTCAGTTTGGTACGAGATGTTTAGTAGATATGGATTGAACTGGGTTTACTTTCATCTAATGGCGCCAGATGTGTAATTGAAATGCGTTCATTTTGAAGAAATTAGTTTCAAACATTTAAATTGTGTGTGAATGTATGCAGAACTATTAAACTACGCGATCTAAATCTGTGTAAACTAATTGCTTGGGCGTGCACTCTCTTTCAACAAAGGCACTCAATTGGTAGTGGTCAGCTGAGCATAAATTATAAATGGTTTAAGAACTTTAGTCAAAAGCTCCATGAAAATTAAAGTTAATGGTTCGTAAAGTAATGAAGAAAGTAATAAGTTACTTGACGTGTTACATTCTAAATCATGTCACGTAAAATTTAGATTAAACTTGAAATTGCGGTTTTGCCGCTTACGTTCATACAATTGCTTCGTCGTTTCAAATTTTTTCTCTAAATTAATTACTCGTCATCTTAGTAGATTATCATACGAGGGCGCATCATTCAGTAAATTTGGTGATTCCATTCAAACTTCGAGTTAGACCAAGAAAATTTCTTAAGCTTCTCTAGCAGAAATGTGACGGTCTTTTGATATAAACCTGTAGGTATTCACTTTCTAAGAGGACATTATGCATATGCTTAAATAACGTTAGTATTAAATTGCGTGTACCACTCGAACAGTTTCCAGCCCTTGAAAGTCAAGTACGATAGAAAGGAAACATTTTACGGCAAGTAATTTTAAAAAAAAACGTTTTGTTCAAGTTTCTATCACAATAAAGACCCAGCAAAAGAGTTGTAAGAATGAAATTTATTCTGGAACTTTTTAACAACGTTTTAAATAGTAAACTTTTTTTTAATTAAATTTCTAAAGCGAAATACAGCTCTTGCAGTTTTGAAAGGGATAATCGTATTTTACATTTATAGCAACCACCTCGCAGCGACGTTAAGCATAGCAGAAAAATAATAACAGAATACGATACGTACCTGTAAAGAGGTTCTCCGATGCTTTCTTTAAACCACAAAACCATGGCAACGGCGTCGTCTCGATCTCTCGGTGTAATATCGCAAGGTAAACCTTGCTTCTTGGCCAGAACTCCCTGCACGTCTTTCATTGGAACTGTAACAATTATCCCAGTTACCATTGTGTAAAACTCGGGTTGTTAGCAAACTTCTCGCTATAAGAGCGCATTTCTAGCGATAAACTTTGGCGATTAAGATAGTTGGTATGTAAACCGTGCCAGTCGGAAAATTATATGAAAATGATAAATTCGGTTATTTTAATAGAGCATCTCGAGGTGAATCGGAAATGTACGCGAATGCTGCAAGAGTTATAGCAGAGGGGAAGCGAACATTTCTTTCACATTAAACGAAATTGAACGTATATTAACCCAGAAGGAAAACAAACATCCGGCAGATTCTATTTGAAATTAAAGTTTGTAATTACGAAATTTAATATTCTCAAAAGCCAACACCTAACCTTAATATCGATCGGCAAACAGATTATCTAAATTGCTTACTTTATAAACATTGTAATTGGAAAAGTTTATCCTCCGTTCGCAAAAGCAACCCTTCCAACCCCGAGCAACATTGTTATATTCTGCTTAAAGACCATTGTTGAGATGTACACAAACGTTATTTAAATAAGATACACGACAATAGTGTTTTATAAAACACCTTTCCAGTAAACCATTAGGATTTAGCATAACAAAAGCCCGCACTGTATATAGATCTTATAATTAGTGCAAAAAACAATTGTAATCCCAAATTATCGCTCTACTGCCAGCTTGAGTGAAAATAAATTCCCGAGTAACGAAATTACAAAAAGTATAAAAAAGCTCGTTCATTAAGGTAAAAAGCCCGACAGAAAAACGTGTAACAGCTAAGCTGTGAAGTTGTGAACTTGATTAAATTCTGCAGTTTTCCGACAGTTCTGGTGATTGATGTGTTGCGAGGATAAGTAAACAGACAAGGGCAAAACAATAAAATAAGAAAGCGATATTAAATGAGAAAGCAATATAGGACAGAGATCTTTTATTAAAACTTTTTGTGGCTTAGAGTTTTTTAATAAACGAGCTTTTTGTTCCGCTCGAGACGGGATAGTAACACCTCATGACTAATAATGAGCGAAACGCTTGTTGACAACAGAATTTAGACCTGAGGCAGCAATTTAATGACATCTTACTTTTGTATATACATTTTTTCCGTCCAAGATTCCATCATTAAACAAGGGAGTTTTGTTATTCAAATGTACCAAAATCTTATTACCTATAACCTAATTCAAACGCAAACTTAAACCTTCAACGACCACGCATATAAACTGGGTTTCAACGAAATTTTTTGTTTTTTTTAGACGAGTTTTGAATAATTTTTATCTGATCCTTTAAGTCTGTAATCGTATTAAAATTTTTGCAGACTTAGTTAACTAACTTGCCCAGAAAATTAGAATTCTTGTACAAACATATTTATTAAAATTGGTTTATGTGCCTTAAGAATTTCTCGCTTGTTAAGTTTCCTACAAACTTTTTCGCTAGCCATAAAGCTGTCTTGATTTTCTTTAAATCGGTAAAATATCCACATTTAAACAATTTTCCCTGCAATCGCGACGGAAAATCAGAAATATATCTTGCGTTCGAGGCACAAAACTTTAACAACCTACACTGAATGATTTATAACGTCCTGGAAATGATCCAATCAGTTAATATTACAATGGCACCATTTGGCGCTTACTGCAGCACAACTAAAAAAATTGATTTAAGATATTACGTAATTCGTAAATGGACTATGAATATAATTTACACACACTACGAGTAATAAATACTCCAATGTTATTACATTTTTATTTGTTTAATGAGTTAGTGCAGTGTTTTATCGCCCGTTTCACTGTTATGTATGAAAAAACTATCTGTTTTAATATGTGCTTACGGATGTCATCTGTCAAACTCGATATTTTTACTTTATTTACGCGCGTAAATCTGCGAAATCAGAAAATGAACTTTCCAGAATCGGAGTTCAAGGGAGAATCGTTGCAGGTCCCCGGTTCATCTTGTTTTAATTAAGGAAAGGAATAGAACCACGTTACTGAAAAATATCCGTTGCTATGTATCAGTTCAAATTTGGTCAGGTTAAATGATGATAAACGTTGAGTTTGGACATTCAACTGTTGATGCAAAACCTTTATCCGTTGCTGGCCAGTGTTTTTCTTACAATTTTGAGGCATGCTTTTGGACTGCATAATTCTCCATCAACGTTTCGGTAATTGGTTGATATGATATTACAATATAATTGTAGCCGTGTAGTGTACTTTGGCGCTATTTTGGTCGCATAACACCATCATTTGACAATTATATGTATAGAGGCGTCATAGTACATAAGCAACACCTGTTTTAGCGCACTTTGAACTTGAGATCTGCGCATCCGCCAAGTTCCATCTGATTAGATACGGTTCTGTTTGTCGACGAAAATAGTTCTATTCGAAACAGGTTGGTTGAGCAGTTTGTAGGTTGTTTTGAGGTTTGTTTATCGGAAACAGGTTGGTCGAGCAGAATCGGCCAACTGGGTCGCTTAACGGAGTTTCGTGGAGTTAGTTGGGCAGTGCCAGTGTTTTTTTATAGCTTAATTTGCCTGCTCCACAATTCCATGGCTACATTGTGTATACAATAATTGGCCCCTTTAGTTAGCATTCGACGTAAAGGTTTTTCGTCTTGAACCCTCGGCCCACAAACGGCGAGTAAAGAATGTAAAAAAAAAGTTATTAAAGCACGCCGAGCTTTAAAGGTTGCTTAAAACCTAACATCAAATAAAAATCCTCCCGGAACGCTTTCTGCAAATTCACCAAAAGGTAGAAGATTTAAATACCTTTGACATTTCCTTGATATATGAAAGCATGAACTATCCAAGACGCTTCCTAATAATCCACGCCAACAACTTTTCATATTCTTTATAATAGCCTTTTGCATTTGGATTTTAGAGGTACCAACTTCTCTTCTGTTGCTGCAAATAAGCCGCTGAATGGATTGATTTTTATAAGCACAGGCCAGGAATTACGAATAATCAGCCCACTGTGTTCGAATAGAACGTCAATATAATTTCATTTTATTTCCCTTGTTTTTAAGTTATATTTCAGGTGTAATAAAAATACTATAAGAAACGCGTGTTAATTGGTCTCCGCTACGCGCCGTGACTTTCGACTCGTTGGCGTGCTTTAAAGGCTTGATTATACACTGTTTCTTAATATACTATTACTTGACGTTGGGCACTTATTAATGTATTTCTGACACACAGTGATCAATCGAAAACGTGGGAGGCGCCCATCACTATGGTAGCTGTGAATAAGCTTATCACTCATCCACTGTGCGCGTTCTTGCTGGATCACCTAATGATGGGCTCCGATTCAATCTACTGATATTGATTGACATGCTAATATCGTTTATGTACATAACGACCTTTAATGTTGAGACAGTCGATTATTGCAGAAACTCGCGGGGATATCAACAAATGATTTATATTGCTGTGACCCTTTAATTTCGGGTCACACACAAAAAATAAATGCAATACCCCACGTTAGGCGCCCATGCCAAAAGGCACCATACACAAAACACTACAAACCTAACTAGCTCTTTAATTCTAATTTTCCTGGTGCAGATCCTCATTCCGATACAGCAAAATGATTTAATTCTGACCTTAAATTTCTGAATCCTGGCGTACAGTGGGCACAATCAAAATCCTTAAATTCTAAACGGGGTGTTACCAAATTTGGACAAACATTTACTTTGGACGAAAATCAGTAAAATTAATTGTAATTGAGCATAAAAATTATTTTTTTCATCGTGCGAGGGTCCGAATGAACACACAACTTGCGTGATATTACACAATGAAATTTTATTTTACAAACACAAATAAAAATAACCATTACAGTTATGTTAAGATGGAATTTGGCCAACAATGTCCAAAAAAAGACAAAATGCCATAATACCATTTTTTTAAATTACCACGTTGTCTCAAACAATTGCTTTTATCTTTTTCAAATAAACGCAGCGCTCAATAAATCATATCGAAACTGTCACATTTGCTTTAATGCGCACCTTGATAACAAATTAAATTGAGGTACACAAATTCCTTAATCTAACCATTCCAAGAAATACACTATCATTTATAAGGAATGTAAACAAACAAGTTGAGTGTCTCATGTCGCGTGTGCAGTTGTATCCTTATTAAACACATATAGGAGGTGAAAAAACATTGGCCTCGTGCTCCAGGTCCAGATCATGGTCGTTTGATCGTCATATTTAAAAATGGCCGCCACGATACTAGATGTTTTGTTTAACTTCCCACACAATGGCTCCATTTTAGTTTTTTCAAGAAAGCATTTCTGATTTTTTGAAGATCAACATGACAATGTATTACTATTTCTTTAAATTACTTATGTATAAGGGTTCTTGAATTGGTCCAAAACATTACCTTTACTTTTATAAAAGTCACAACACATTATTTCCAATCTTCTACGGGGACATACCGTTTCTCTGAAGCATGTCTGGTAATTACATGGTTTAGGAAAATCTTTAGGGTCCTTTGGATCATCGTTCACTTGTGGAATTAAAATGCCGTCGTTTTCTATGTAACCATTATCCAACGGATTAAGTTATTTACACGGTTCCAGAGCATTCATTCATTATAGCATTGCAAACAGCTTCGTTTTATGCGAAGACGGATTGATCTGAAAGTAGGCGACAAATCCTCAAAGTTTTGTAATTTCCTAAACTGATGGAAAGGCAATGTGCTCATTGTATTTAACAAAAATTCTTCTGCCTTTTTCCATGTCTTTATTCGGTGGTTCTTTGCCAAATTCCAAATTTAATAATAATAATAATGTTTATTCCCACAAAAACAACTAATAGGGAAACAAAAATAAAATAAATAAAGAAAATAAGAATAACAATTTCGTACTATCTTTGCTGGTTTAAGAACGGATCACAGGTAAAGCTGTTAAAACAGTAAGTAGTACTTTGCCATCAAGGGTGTAAAGTGGAATATACCGCGATGTTTTTCCTAATCCAAAAGCAACGTAAAGCGCTTTAAGTCCCAAATTTTGTCACTTCTGCTCGTAGTAATAGAGTG